CATATTCTGGAGATCCTCGTCATCTTGAACTTCAACCTTATAAAAAATTACTTGGTTGTTTCCAAAAAAACTGGATTCTGATAAAATATCTGGGTCACCGAGCCTCGTCGAAGTTTGGCCTCCAATCGTTTTTTGAAGTACGAGAAATTGGCTTTCCCGTTTAAGAGAAATCGGATGTTGTCTGTGTCTCTAAACAAAAACCCAGCGGTGGGACAAATGTATGTCTCACCGTTGAAATGTGCTTTGACGACAAATTATGGTGCAGAGGCCATTGCGTAGGATTGTTTGAAGGTTTGAAGGTTTGAAGGTTGGAAGGTTGGAATGTTTGAATTTTATGAGTTATTCGAAGGTTGGAATGTTTGAAGTTTATTGATTGTATGAAGGTTTGAATGTTGTAAGGTTTGAAGGTTGGAATGTTTGAACTTTATGAGTTATTCGAAGGTTTGTATGTTTGATTGTTTGAAGGTTTGAAGGTTTGATAGTAAGAACGTTTGAAGGTTGGAAGATTTGACAGATTAAGTGAATCAATGTTATGATAAACGTAAGACTAAAAATTTCAATTAAGTAAGGATGTAACCCCCAAGGCTGCCAATAGTGTTACATGCATGGCATCCCAAAGGCTGTCACGTAGCCTGAGCCTAGCCTGCAACCAAGGACACCTCTGATTCTCCAATTGGGATGGCGACACCATTCATTTTTATACTCTTTCGCCAAGTCCAATGGCGCCTCCATTACTGTCCAATCGTGATACATGCATGCAGATATGTAACCACCTAGGCTGCCACCTAGCTTGCGCCTACTCTGCACCTATATTGTATCTTATAAGTCTCCTCCCATCATCTCCAATAGGGTTACATGCATTCAGGCATGGCATCCCAAAGGCTGTCACGTAGCCTGAGCCTAGCCTGCAACCAAGGACACCTCTGATTCTCCAATTGGGATGGCGACACCATTCATTTTTGTACTCTTTCGCCAAGTCCAATGACGCCTCCCTTACTGTCCAATCGTGTTACATGCATGCAGATATGTAACCCCTAGGCTGCCACCTAGCATGCGCCTACTCTGCACCTATACTGTATCTTGTAAGTCTCCTCCCATCACCTCCAATATAGTTACATGCATTCAGGCATGGCATCCCAAAGGCTGTCACGTAGCCTGAGCCTAGCCTGCAACCAAGGACACCTCTTATTCGCCAATTGGGATGGCGACACCATTCATTTTTGTACTCTTTCGCCAAGTCCAATGGCGCCTCCCTTACTGTCCAATCGTGTTACATCCTTAGGCTGCCACCTAGCCTGCAAGAGTGACACCTTTCATTTTTGTACATGCATGCAGATATGTAACCCCCTAGGCTGCCACCTTGCCTGCAAGAGTGACACTTCGCATGCATGCAAGCACCAGCAACCACTCTATGAAATTTTTTTGTCTATAAATACATACCATATCATACATCTCTCACACCCACACAAGTCTCACTCTCTGCTACGAAATCTTTCATAATCTCTTACACTTTCTAAGTCTTTCATACTCTCTTACACTTTCTAAGTCTTTCATAATCTCAAGGATTTTAAACAATGGCTCTTCTAACAATGGGCGATTCTCACAGAGGCACAAGGGAAAACATTGCCGCATTTGTAAGTTTATATTTTGGTTATACATTTTTCATACTTCAGATAATGCTTTGTTCATCTTACTTAATCTTATACCTTTTACGTTATGAACTCAGGACACCAAAAGATTCAGAATCCGTTCTCACAACTACCTGGCTCCCGATCCATTTATCGTACCATATCTGGAATACGCAGGTTTTGGACATGTGATAAAGATCTCCAACTGCACAATTGATTCGAAGTTCATTCTTGCAATGTTGGAAAGGTGGAGACCAGAGACCCATACATTTCACCTACCAATAGGTGAATGTACCATCACGCTAGAGGATGTGTACATGCTACTAGGTCTCCCTATCGACGGTAAGGTCGTGAATGGGTCGGTTCAACAACCCAACTCTCAGTGTGAAGAACTGTTGGGCAGAGATATGGTTGAAGGTGGTGGTGCGAGAGGTCAGGGAATACTACTCACTGAGCTTAAAAGTCATTATGCAAGTTTGGAATTAAACGAAAATTCCTCCGAGCAAGACAGGGTAGTAAAAGCCAGAACTTATCTTATGATTCTATTTGGTACCTTTTTATTTCCCGAAAGTACGGGAAATAGTGTAAATTTTATGTATTTACATTTACTAAGAGATTTTGAAAAAACAAGAAAATATAGTTGAGGTTCTGCAGTTTTAGCCCACCTATACAGTTCCTTGTGCAAAAATGCAGTCAAGGAAAAATGTATATTTTATGGATGCGCTTTTTTACTACAAGCCTGGGGTTGGTGGAGGATGGAGTCCTTAAACCCCGTCAACAACAACACTTTCGTTTTCCCGTACGCAACAAAGTAAGTCATCAAGTTATATCATTTATTATTATTCATCTCTTCACCAAATATATGCTAAGAATAAAATGTTTTTCATTTCCTTTAGGTATTGCGTGAGGGGTATGGATTACGGCAAGAATCCAAGATTCAATGTCACACTATACCACAATCTGTTGGATCACTTAGGCCCGGATGATGTACGTCGTAGCTTTAAACTTTTCTTCATTTAAATTATTTATACATTACATTTTCGTTAACCTGATTTAAATTTTATCGCAGTTCGTCTGGAGACCATATTTGGGTTTGGGCCATGATCCAAACCCGGAGGATGCAGCAATTTGGACCGCGAAAACTGCAATCATTCGGTTCAACGTTGTGGAGATGCACCACAGCGACCGTGTGAAGATGCAGTTCATAATGCATCAAGAGATACCAAGTGATCCAACTTGTTTTTCCCCATGGCATCTTAAAAGGGTCGACGCCCAGTGGAGTCTTACCAACTGGAAAGACTTCGCTCTGGAATGGTGTAAGATGTGGCAGAGGCGTCACCGTTATGTCTTGCAATTCCTGGTTTTCCTTAATCATGGTAATATGCGACACACGGATCAATATTTATCTTGGTACAGGTCGGTTAGTAACCCTGAAATGCACGTGTCTCATCCAAGGTACTTGGTTGACCCACGCACACAATGGACACAACCCTCATTTCCCCAACAACAAACCCAAAACCCATCAACCTCCCACCAACCCCCAAGAAGAAACAGAACCACAAACACCCAACCACAGTCTCCACCACAACACAATTACACTCAAATGCCCCACAACCAACCACAATCACCACCTCACTACCAATACCCCGATATGCCTCACACCCAACCACAATACCAATCACAATACCAACACACCCGCATACCCCACACACAATTTCAGTCTTCCATATATCCCAATATGGGCCCCTCAACATCCAGCCTTAGCCCTGATATGGGAATGTCAGAAGATTACGAGCAAACCGACCCAGCCTACCATCAACTACAATATCACCAAACCACCCAACATCCTCAATACCAAACACCCCAAGATCCATTTCCTTTCTACCCACCGTACTCAAACGATCAATGCTACAGACCCACCATGGAACCCCACCCACCACCAACACGACCAAACTTTGAGGGCATGGGTAACCGACTATACCAAAGCGGATCCTCTAGATATGGAGATCTGGCTGATGGATCCGGACCGCATTGACTTCGCTGGGCCATCGACCCTGCCGCAGCAGGAAACGCGACGACACCCAGCACGGGAAAGGCGAGGACGGGAATGCGTAACCGAGGGTCATTACCGAGTTCCGGAGGATCACTGATTTATCTGTTTTTTTTTATCTGTTTTTTTATCGATTTTTTTTATCTATTTTTTTATTGTAATACAGTTGGATGTAATTATTATTTTTTAAATAAAAAGTCCATTTTGTTGATCTTGTATCCAATACGCAACGCACCGGACAAAAAAAAATCACATTTTGCCCTAAAAAGACACATAGGCGCCATCTCACTTGGCTTAGGACGCCCTAAGCACATAGGCGCCAAGTGAGATGGCGCCTCCCCTTAAAAAATGGGAGGATGTGCCAAGTGAGATGGCTCCTCCTTTAGGAAGTCATCTGAAACATAATTATTTGCGTAATTTTTTCCGAAACGCGGTTATTTGCGAAAAAAAAATTTAATACTTACTTATTCAAAAAAAAATCGTAAAATTGTTCTTAACCCTTATTTTTTAATGATGGGCTCTTAAAGACTGAAATCAAAATATTATAAAATTGATTCCAGCATACCGTTTTTACATGCATGGAGCACCCTCTAACCACTAGCCTACTAATTGCTTCCAAAATACTATATCATAGTTAATGTAACTATTTTATTTTAAAAAACACTATAACATAAATATTATATATTTTAATTTTAAATATAGATTGTTTAAATAGTATTTTTAGAAATACTGTTACTAAAACATATTTGTAACATAATTTCTAAAAACATATTTATTTATTAAACATTTATTATATAAATATTTTTTTTTCATATTTAATAAATAAGTTCTACTTAATTACTTAAACATATTGATTTAAAAAATATCTAATACATATTTATATATTTTAATATTTATTTTAAAAATATTATTTAAACCATTTATATTTAATTTGAAAAACATTAATCTTAAAATAATATTTATTTATGTATTTTGTAATAAAACGTTAACTAACATAATGTATTAATAATTGCATTACCTAACATTAAAATTTTATGTTATAAGATTTATTTTAACTTTATTCAATATTATACCAATATCAATTATACTCAAATGAAAAATTACTATTATTTGTAATAGTTTAATTTCTTTACAATTTTTTTAAGATTTAATTTCTTTACAATATTACAATTTTTTTTTAAATTAATATTAGTTAATATAATTATTAATATAATATTTAATAAATAAATATGTTAGTTAATGTAAATACTATTTATTCCATTTTTTTGTTCTTTCCGATCCTTTGACCATTTTTGTTCCAATCTGAACTGATGTTACAAAAACTACCTTTCATAATCTTGCAAGCCCAAGAAGCTATATTTCTGGAAACCACCTTTGGGAGGACTGAAGGTAGTTTGCTTTGTTTGAAGTAACTTATTTCCAGATTCGTCTATACATGTCTCAAGACCGCAAGAATGGCAAAAAGATTCCAAATCCGATTCCTGTCATGGTTGAAAGTAGCATTTAGGGATAAAATGCATATAGTAATAATCTACACTGCAACAGTGATCACATGTTTAGGTGTTTCCGAAGACGAGGTGGCAGAAAACAGACTTCATACCTCTATCATCAGGTGTTTTGAAAGGACGAACAGAGGATATGGATGAAGTTTGTAGCCGCCGAAATTTATGTAAGATAAAGCCAGTGAACGAACCTACAAGTGGACACGAGGAAAACCATTATCATGGCATATAGAAATAGAAGTTCTGACATAGATGCATGCGACAAGTCAGACATAAAATATATAACTAAAAAATGGAGACAGAATATTAGGAAAAGAATGCAATCTCTGGTAAAAGATTTTACTTCATCGATATAAGGCTCCATAATGCAGTACTGTAGATATGATGCACCAGCTGCTACAGTTCGGAAGAAATCCATATAATTACCCATTCGGAACGAGCTAAAAAGAGAAAAAAGAATATCGGTAATTGGCATATATTCACATTTTTATTATAGTGAAGTGAGATATAGGCTAATGGGAAAACAAATTAAAAAATCCATTTTACTTACTCTCGTATATTCCTATTTATAAGAGAAAATTTACTTTTTAGGTTCATTGAATGATTCATGTATCGGGACTGTATTAATGGATCATATACATTAATTATTCAATGAATATAAAAAGTCAATTTTCTCTTATAAATAGGATCAAAGGGAATAACTAATAAAGTAAACAAATTTAGTAATAGGAGAAAGGCTACCGTAAGATTCTCCTAGCAAAACGCATTTCTTTTGACTTCAATATTGGAGTTGATACATGACTAAACCATAAAGAAAGAGGTTCTCCCTGTGAACCAGAAATAGTTACATTACATAACCTTAAGAAGTAACATGGCTCGAATTAATTAACAAAAGAAAGAGAGAGAAAACTAATCATATCAATGATGTAGGGATTAAGTATTAACCATTGGTTTGCTGTGAGAACCAAGATTAAGAAGCACATAGAATGAATGGAACTCAGCTTCATTTTCATGTAAATCATTTGAATTTCTATTTGCTCCGTAGAGATTGAATAAAGAAGACAATGTCTTTGTGAGCTGTTCCATGTTGAGATGATGCATGGATGCGATGTTTGGATCATCCGTAGAACACCAGAGCTTGCGATGTGATATAACATGAAATTTCACCTGCATCATTAAAGATACTGCTAAACTTATTATCTGAATTCCATGCTTGAAACTCTGTGAGAGGAAATACTGCTTAACAAAAGTGTTATGTCCATGTTTGGATAGGTGTGCGGCACTGTATGACCGCTGCCGTCCACCTTTGTCTGTATATTTAAGAAATGTGAAATAACATTCAGATTTTCATCCTACGTTTTGGAATTAGAGCCAATCCTAAATCTCTGAATAGGACACTCACATTTGTCACACTTCAAATATCTATCTAGTTTTAGGCATAAGGGGTGTGTGGAAACTGTAGGATATAGCTTTCATTTTAGCCTCTGTCACTCTCGTTGTGTTAGGGGTGAGGGAGTGTGACAAATGTGATTCCACTGATCAAGAGAATAAGGTGAGCAGAATTAAACCACACGATAAAAGTACTCGGGTCTTGTTTATCAAAAGGAATGGATAACGAATTACATATAGAAAGAGCAACAAACTTATGTAAGGATATATACAGCACCAGCCCTTAGCAAGCATCACACAATGCACATTGAGTTGACCAACCTATCCACAGAAGCCAAAGATTTAATAGATTTAATACCCCTAGCCCAGCGTAGGACTTGTATTTGGAAAGATCAGTTTCTTTATAGATATTCATCTAGTGTGTTAAATAAAATTTACGGATCAGATAAATAAACCTCAAAATTTACTTCAAAACTGGTATTTGCAAATCAAGCATCAGAAGTGAAACTTCAATCATGTACCCTAACACAGTTGTAAGAGAAAATATGAATTGATAGATGATGAAAAGAAGAAAACATATGAATCAAAGACATTTGACAAAAAATTATACCATTCCCTCATACATGAAAATAGCTCTCTTGTTTATAATACTTTGCATAGTAAGATCTTGACGTATAGACCTTGTCCTATCAAAGATGAAGTCATGAACTACTTCGAACGGATGCTCCTTAGAATCCAGCAAGCCCAATAGATAATTTAAAGTATCTTCTAATACATTAAGAGGTCGCATATCAGATGCTTGAACTTCTTTGATGGATATAGTTCTGCAAAACTGATAAGTTAAATGTCATACGATACAACCATCCAGGATTAAACTAGCTTAAAAGTGAATTCAACATGCTGCTTGAGAATACATCCTTCCTAAACTAGACAGAAGCACAATTTATGAGGTAAAACAAGCTAACACAGGAGTTCGAATTTGATCCTACCTTCTTGACAGCAAGAGCTGGAGATGATTTTCCAGGATTACCATTTAGCCTCTCAAAAACTGCCAAATCTCGAAGTTTCTCACGCTGGATCCTCTCTCTTTCTGTAGACACAGTGAAAACATTCGAACATAGAAGCTTCAGGTATATATATATATTGTATATGAACTTATAAAGAAAAATAATAGCAACAGATAGTGTCTCAAGGTTTAACATGCAGCATGCAAAAATGAACTTAGAGACCCCTTGCTCAAAAAGGAACTACAGTGCTCACAAAATTTCAAATTTTCTGCTACCATCTGGAAATGAAAATAACAATCCTACTAACAACTACAAAGAATTCAATTTCTGATTGTAAATCAGTAATTAATTATATTTTTACCTGGGCACAGATAAGAACAAGTTCCAAGTAAACCCCCAAAATTGGAAGATCCTTGTGAATTTTCATTGAAATCGGAGGTAGAGGCGTTACTTTTACTACCAGTGATAGGAGGAGGAGTGGCCCTTTGAGAAAAGTTTGAAACTTTGGATTGTTGGGTAGCATTGAAAGGGAATTGGTAGCGCCGTTGTTGGGAAAACGAAGAGCGACGGTTCCCATTCCCACTCTCCATCATAATTCTTGTTTCTTCACCATTGTTACAAATGTGTTTTTTTATCTTTTATTTTATGCTTTTCTTAAATTTTATTTGTTTTGTTTATTAGATGAGATTCAATTTAATCTATTTCTATTATAAATATATTTAAAAAAATAAAGTATTTGATAATTTCAAATTAACCACTTTTAAACTAATCTAATTTCAAGGTTATAAGTGATTTCTTAATACATTGTTTCAACTATATATATTTCGCATTAAATTCTTCTTATCTATCACTACATCAATTATTCTAAATATTATTTATTTATTTTAATATCTAATTTAAATATATTTAATTTAATAAAACAATGTTAATTGTTTTGTTCAATAAAAGTGATTTCTTATTTTTCAATTGAAAATAAAATTCTCTCTTCTCAATGCATGTACAGAAAACTTAACCACAATTAAAATTAGAAATTTTTTTCATTATCTTTGGGAAAGACAACATATTCTCTCTTTAAATCATCTTACCTTTACTATCTCCAGTCATACGAAGTCAGCCGTGTTGAAACTGTTTCCACCACCACACAAATCTCCATTATCGCAACTCATAAAACTCACGAACTTTCTTTTTGTTTTATATTTTTTTGATATTAATGTTGTTGTTATGTTAATTTTGTGTTTCAGTGTTCTGCAAAACATCATCAAACTCACAAACAGATGAAAACACGATCCAAATAGGCGGAAACCAAACTGAAACCACCATGTTTATGCTGCACCAGCACCCTCCTTCTCTTTCTAAACCATACCGAAATGCAACAACTGCACTATGCTCTTTCTCTTTCGAAACCTCTGAATTTGTCCACTGCACATGTCTTAGATTTAATTGGGTTAAAATGTTCGCTGAAGGACTTAACAAAAACGCTCTTGGCTCGGTCAGAGAGGTAAATCTCTCAGCTTTTCCATATTTGTTATTTTGGTTTTTTATCATAATGGGGTTCTCTATTTTATTGTTATACTAAATTCTATTTTGCAAAATATCTATTTTTTTCCTAATATAAATCTTGGCTTGAATTGAGAGGAAATAAGAAATTCTTGAGATTAGAGGTGATTGGGGAAGTTTACCCGTTAAGGTTGTCAAATGAACCTCTTGCAAATAATATGGGGTCACTTTATCAAAGGAGTAACTGAAGATTGCAGACAATAGTTAAAGATGTTGGGCTTCAGGTGTTAATCAACAAGCTATTTCTTTTATGGTGTAATGTTTGAGACTCATTAGGTTCAATCAGATGAACTTTAATTATTTTTTTGGAGTAAATTCATGTATAATGTTATCAAATCATGGTTACAACCTTAATTTAATATCTATGTTTATGCTTTATTTAGGTTAGATGGTGAATATAAGTATTGATACAAATTTTCACTATTTGTCTCTATTTTAATACCAATTGCAGCATGAAAAAATGTATAGCAACCTTAGACAATTTAGCAGATATTTTTATGGTTCCTCTATTAAGCAAGACTTAGATACATTTCTTCTTGGAGATGTTGAAGACAGTGATGAAGCTCCAAGTGTTTTGTTCAAAAGTTTGTTAAGATATAAATTTGCAGTTTAACATTGTTTTTTGAGAAATAAGAATGTAAGAGAAGATGATGAATTAAGCATGAGAAGGTGATATTGTTATTGTTGAAGTTCACAACGATTTTCTTACAAAATATCTTGCCGCAGAAGGGCATGGTATCATACGGATTGGAACTCCTTGATTTGATGGAACAAAAGGGGTATCTCAATACCCTATACTACATGGGGACACCTTTGTTTATCAATTTGTTGTTAATATGGTAAGTTGTTGTAAAATACGAATGGTGAGTGAATTTTTGCATGTTTCAAAGCATATCTAACTTGGTTGCATATTTAATGTAACAACCCGGTACATATCTTTATCATGCTCACTATGGAATTCAAAGAGAGGCAATGTTATATGGTATGATTCGTTTCGCATTGAATGATTCTGAACACTTTTCTTATGACTTAGATAGAAGCATTATCCTGAATGATTGGTATCATAACAATACTTATGAAAAATCGGTTGGATTATCTTCAATCCCTTTTCAATGGGTGGGGGAACCTTAAGTAATTAAATTTATGTATACTAATTCAAAATCTAATGTCATATATTTTTCTTCTTTTTTTCAATTGTCTAGTTGTTGTTTTTATTAATTCTTTGTATATTTGGTTTCAATAATCACTTTTGATTCATGGAAAAGTAAGATTCAATTGCTCCTTAATTACTTATGTTTGTAACTCAACAAACCCTCTATGCTTTCCCTTTGTGCAAATTGTCGTCTTAGGAGAAACATATAGAGTTAGAGTTGCAAGCTTAACTGCTTTATCGACACTTAGTTTCCAAATAAAGGTAATCATCCATTCACTCGACCATTCTAAGTATCATCTAGGGTTTTAAAATAAGGTATGCGGTCAGTGTCTAAGTTGTAACATTATAATTTTTTTATGTATATTAAAGATTGTGACACTACTGCTAACATAACCGCAATTAAACATTGATTTCTTTCTCCCTAAATTGTTTTTACTGTTCATCTATTTTGGAATAATGAATGACAATATTGTATCAAAGTATGAAGTATTAATGGCTTCATCTATGATCAATATGCATATGAACATTACGATACAATTGACATGTTAAACATGTTGTTTATTATAAATTGAACCTGTTATTTTATTTAAATATATCATTTGGGTGTTTTTTACCTCTATGTTGAATGTTCTAACCTCCATATATATGATTTTGTTTCATTGGATCTATAACTATATTTTAATGTTTTGAATGATTTCTTTGATCACGAAATATTCATAATTTGTTGTACTTGCAAGCTCAGATAAGGATAGGGATGGTCAGTCCCCAATGGTATGTTCTGTTTCAACTACTTTTTTCAGATTCTATTCTATTTTTTAGGCAAATTTGTCATCAGTCACTAAAGATTAACACCAACTTACAAAATTTTATATTCTTAAAATATTGATGATCAATTAATGTAAGTATTAAACTTCAAATGTCATAATTTTGTAGTTCAAATGTCAAAATATTGATGATCTATTAATGTAAGTATTAAACTTCAAATGTCAAAATATATAAAAAGTAAAGTACCTGGTAATTCCAAATTAACCCCTCTAATTAAATATTTAAACTAATCTAATTCCAAGGTTATAAGTGACTTATTAATACATTTCTTCAACCATATGCATTTGACATTAAATGCGTCTTATGTGTCACTACATCAATTATTCTGAATACTTTTTATTTATTTTAATATTGAATTTAAACCTATCTAATCTAATAAAACAATGTTAATTGTTTTGTCCATTAAAAGTGACTTCTCATTTTTCAATTGAAAATATAATATCCCTCTCTCAATGCATGCACAAAAAAGACAACATATTCTCTCTCTAAATCATCTGACCTTTTTTATCTCCAGTCATACGAAGCCAGCCATGCCAAAACTGTTCCCACCACCACGCAAACCTCCATTATCGCAACTCATCGAACTCACAAACTTTCTTTTATTTTATAGTATTTGATATTAATGTTGTTGTTATGTTAATTTTGTGTTTTCAGTGTTCTTCAAAACATCACCAAACCCATAAACAGATGAAAACACGATCCAAATAACTGGGAATGGGTCGAAGTCGTTGGAAACCAAACTAAAACCATCATGTTTCTGCCGCACTATCACCCTCCTTATCTTTTGAAACTAGATCGAAACACAACAACCGCAATGTGCTCCTTCTCTTTTGAAACCTCTGAATCCGTCCACTGTGATTTGATTGGGTTAAAATATTCACCGAAGGACTTGACAAAAATGCTCTTGGCTCGGCCAGAGAGGTAAATCTCTCAACTTTTCTATATTTGTTATTTTGGGTTTTATCATAATGGGTTTCTCTATTTTATTGTTATACTAAATTCTTTGTTTTGCAAAATATCTAATTATTCTTGATATAAATCTTGGCTTGAATTGAGAGGAAACAATAAATTCTTGAGATTGAAGGTGATCGGGGAAGTTTACCCATTAAGGTTGCCAAACAAACCCGTTGTAAATAATCTAGTGTCACTTTGTCAAAGTAGTAACTGAAGCTTGCAGACAATAGTTAAAGATGTTGGCCTTCAGGTGTTAATCAAAAGGCTATTTCTTTTATGGTATAATGGATTTACTAATACGATAAAATGTTTGAGACTCATTAGGTTCAATCAGATGAACTTTAATTTATTTTTTGGAGTAAATTCATGTATAATATTATCAAATCATGGTTACAGCCTTAATTGAATATCTATGTTTATGCTTAATTTAGGTTAGATGGTGAATATAAGTATTGATACAAATTTTCACTATTTGTATCTATTTTAATACCAATTGCAGCATGAAAAAATGTATTGCAACCTTAGATAATTTAGCAGATATTTTCATTATTCCTCTATTGAGCAAGACTTGTGAAATTCTGGTATGACAAAACTCAAATATCCTATGACATGTTGAGACATCCGATCTGACTTAAATATTATGACGAGGTATAAACAATTAAAACCAGTACTGAAAAGCATAAACAACACAAAGAAATTGTTAACCTAGTTCGAAATAACCTTCATACTCTGGGGGCTACCAAGCCAGGGATAAGTCCACTAAAATAGTATCAATTCATAGACTCTACAACAAACATCCACTTTACGTCCTAATCACTTAACTACTACCCTTGATAGACTTCTATCTAAGACTCACCTAGATATGAGGCCTTCCTCAATCCCTCATCAATCACAGACAGCGATTGGACAAACAGGAAGACACACTTTCGTGACAACAAACTAGAAGACTCACTTCCATGACAATACCTAGCCAAGACTCTTAACTAAGAACAATACTTAGAGTGGCTTACAAGCTTCCTCCAAGAATAAAACTCAAATCATTAGTTTACAGCTTCTGAGTGAGAACAATACCAACTCTCTTAGAGAGCGGCACAAAGACAATGC